CCAGCCCTGGCTGGGAACACCTGAGCTCCGAGCATGCTGGGAAATGTACACTGGGAGCACACACTGCACCCTGCCGGGGACACACAGCACTGCCCTTGTGTCCTATCCACACCTCCCTCCTCATCCCTTCACTCCATAGCTCCCACCACACCTCCCTCTCTACCCCTTAACCACATCCCCCCTTACACCACCCCCGCTCCAAGGATGTTACACCATGACCTCCCTCATCAGCCCAAAGACAGAGCGGCCAGTGTGCAGCCTCCTCTCCCGGTGCTCCCTGTGTGCCCAGCAGGTGCTTCTGGTGCCAGTTCCCGTGGCAAACAGGGCATGTGCCCTCTCAGCAGCTGCTCTGGCCGGTGCTCCTCGGCTGCACCCTTGCCCTCTGAAGTACACCTCTTTCCTCGGCTAGCTCCTCCTGGTCTGAGCAGGTCACACGGCCTCTGTCCTTACCGTGAGTCCCCTCAAGGATCAGGGCAGCCTGCCTGCCACACCCACAGCCCCCAGGGCCTGCCTGCCCTGGCCCAGACCCCTCATCCTGTGCCCAGACTTCCCACCCCGTGCTCCTGGCATCTGGCCCAGGGGGTGCTGAGCTGCGCTGTGTGTTGGAACTCAGCGGTGCTGCGTGGCAGCGACCTTCCGGACACGCTCCGCCTCCGTCCCACAGGGCCGCCACCAGGCCTCCAGGCATCTCTCCCTGTGCCCCTGCCCCTGCCCTCACTTCGCACCTTCTGCTGCCTGGGGTCTCCTATCCTTGCCTACTTCTCCTCCTGGGACACCGGCCTGACAGCCACTGCCTGTCTCACCTCGAGGCGTCACTGCTCCAGTGTCGGCTGAGCCTGGTGTTTGCCAAGGACACGACTCCCAGGTGGGTCACATGCCTGAGGGGGACGCCAGCTGCCCTGCTGAGTTATGGAATATTGGCCCCTCCCCAAACATCCTCATGTGTTGCTGGGTCCCTCAGCCATGTCCGGGGCATTAGTGCCTGGGGCTCATCTCCTGTGATGTGGGACCTGACTTTAGGGAGTCCTCAGTGCCACCACCCAAGTCCCAGGCTGCCCATCTCTGGTGAGCAGGTGACTGTCCTCAGGGCGGTAGGAAGCCTGACAGGGGCCCCCGGATCCAGAGCCAAGTTTGCACCCCAGTGTGGCTTCCCGGAGTTCGGGCCCCACCCACCTGCTGAGAACGGAGGGCGTGGTGGGGCACAGGTGGCTGGGGGCCATACGTGCAAGAGAAGTGCTGGATGTTTGCGTCCACAGGACCCAGAATGCCATGTCAGGGACACCCGGACAACTCACAAAATGGCCTGAGGTCAGGTGTTTGGGATCAACTGAGAATATGTTTATTTAAAAGCAATTTTAAATATTAAAAAAAGTAGAAATGAACACATACAGTACTGGAGAACAGTCACATTAAATACATGTGAGGCGGCAGGTGTCCTGGTGCTTGGTCACAACAGCCGGACGGACGGGAGTCTGAATGGAAGTGGCGGCACGTGGGGTTCCCGTACAACACGCAGACAGTTTAGGCGATAAAAAAATAAATAGCAATTGCTGTTCAACAGGAAGATTAGACACCACTATTTGCAGAATATAACTTTCCCCTCTAGGGGAAAATAAAAACTATTTAGCTATTTTTTTCCCTCATAAGGTTTCCATACCTTCAAAATACTCTTATTGTGTACATAATTGCAGACCGCGGCCCAGCTTACGTTATGGGATTCCAACCTAACGGCACTCCCCAGGCGTACGTACAGCGCGCCCACTTTCCGAGGTCCCGGGGAAGCTGGGAGAGTGTGAGCACAAACCCCAGGGGGAGGACAGCAAAGCCGGGCCACGCACCAGCAGCCGGGGCGTGGCCCCCAGCCGTGTTCAGTGGGGCTGTGGGTTTCACACATGGTGCCTTCTGCTGTGAGCGGTTTTGGGGAAGAGCAGTTGAAAATTGGTGCAGGCCAGAAAAAAAACCCAATCATTCTTGGGTGCAACTTAAAACCGGTGACGGATGAACCGCAGTCACCTCAGACCCACGCTGCGCGTGCCGCCCCACGCGGTATGGGAATCCCCATTTGCTGCCGCGCCGTGAAGTGACTGCTCAGGTCCCTATTCTGCAGGCTTGCCATGCGAGGCTTCTTCGGTTCCAAGATCCTGTGTGCGGGGCTGGACGGAGGCACCAGGGCTTTGTGACTGGGAGGGGCTCTGCTCAGGGCTTGGCGGGGACTTGTGCTTCTGTGAGATGAACACTGTTCACTGGTTGCCAAGGCTGACTACTTATCATTGTTGCCCAAGTGGCCGGGGGAGCGACGTCATGCCAGAGTCCCACGCCAGCCTCAGGACCGGACAGTCCTGCTGACTGTGGAACTTGACTCCCGTGTCCCTTCCTTCCCAACATCCAGCCGGGGTACCAAGACCAGATTTCCCGATGCACAGATGTGCCCCAGAGTGTCTGCCTCACTGCAGCGCTCAGCGCACACACGTGTGGTCACCAAGCCACTTGAAGGCCCTGCGTTTGCTGGATGGAGGTGGACACTGGAAAAGGCATCTACAGCTGTGGTTACGATCGGGGGTGCGAGAGGGGGGAGTCAGCACCTGGGTTCACCAGTGGGGATTTATTGTCTTGACTCAATCTTTGAAAACTTTACGTTTATTAAAGAACAAGACTTAAGGAAATAACTTGAAGTGGACTCCTGGGCCCCTTCCACAGCAGGGTCCCGAGTCTGGACACACTCTGTCGAGGCAGACTCCTGGGCAGCCAGTGACTGACTAGAAACACATGGCTGCAAGCTCGTCATTTCTGCTCTAATGGCAACTGAGTGTGGGAAATGTACAGTCCACGCGGTTCACACGCTTCCTTTATAAAAGGTAGATTTCAGGGGAGCGTCTACACATGCACAGGACAGGGGCCAGGGCAGGAGGGGTGGTGGGGGTGTCCTTTCTGCTTCCTGAGGTTCCATCTCAGGGCTGGCCCTCATCACCTCAGACAGGGCAGGGCCCCCACCTGCGCATACACTTGCCTACTGCTGCCGCCAGGTGTGACTAGAGCTTTGGACCAGTGAGGGTTCTGCTAAAAGGGGACACGTGCACTGAGCGGGGGCATCTGAGACAGTCAGCTAGGCCGGTGTCTGCAGCTGCAACCTGTGCACGTGGAGGGCAGGGGCCAGTGTTCACGGAGTCAGGTCCTGCGCCCCCTCCCCCCCAACACACACACCCTGCCCGCCTCTCTGAGCAGCGCATGCTCAGTAACACCTGGGGAATACTGCGCGGTGGGGGAGCGGGAGCCTTGTGAGGCTGCTGCGCTGGTTGGACGCAGCTTCCACTTGCAGGGCCATCAGGTCGCGGGCTCCCGGCTGTGTTGTCTGTCGAACAGCAGAGAGGGAGATGAAGTGCGAGGCGCCAAGCGTGGCTTTGGCAAACCGGTAAGGCATGCCGGGCTCCAGGGCCGCCCTAATACTGGTGAAGGCGGCACATCCCAGGGCCACATAGACCAGGCAGGGATCACCTTCTGGGGCGGCCCGGGGCGGGCGAGGCTCTGTAACAGCAGCTATGTACACATGGAGGGGTGGAGGTGCCGAGGCGGTGGTCTGCAGGATGTGGTCTTGCGGGAGGGTCTGTGTCTTGCTAGTCAGACAGGATGTGCACGAAGGACACGGGGAAGACCCCCTTCCGGTCAGGCTGCCCCTCGATGTGGCCGATCTGCAAGGGGGTGGGCAGAGAGCTGTCAGACGGAGGCAGCAGGCCGACCCTGGGGGCAGACTGCAGGGTATGACCTGTCAGCACTGTCCTGGGTCTCTCCCCGCACAGAGGCAGAGGGACATTTTACTGGCCTTGTTTTAGAGGAAGGGACCCACCTGGATGGTAGTCACCCACCCAGGTGCTCCCACAGGCTCCTGACTCCCAGTCTGCCAAGTCCTCTCTCTCTCTCACACACACACACACACATGGACACACATACACACAACACGCCCATGTGCTCCCACAGCCTCCTGACTCCCAGTCCGAGTTGTGTGCCCCCAAGTCCATACACACACACACACAC